TAGAAGTCATCTAATGAGTTAATGATAACTATCAGGATGCCTCCAATTTGAAATAAATAAATAAATAATATTAAATCTACATATTATCGAAGGCAGCCGCATTTCGTTGCTGTAGCTTCTAACCCCCCCCCCCCCCCCCNTGGCAATCTCTTCTAATGAGATTTGTCCTGCAGGAGCTTAATGATCCATCTTTGCATTTTGCGAAACCTTATAATGCAACAGCACAATTTAAGCTTCACGGATTAATCCATTTATTAGTTCTAGCCTAGTTTATGTTAGTCTATTTTAATGACATATAAAATATAATCAACGTCCTTTGAAAAGGAGATTTAAGTAATATCTCTTTTAAATAGGCATCTTTGTAGGGTGTACTGCGTGAATTGTTATAATTTAATATATTCTATGAATAAGCATCGATAATTTCCCCTAGGAGGAAATCGTTATTGGAACACTGATAAAGCATGTTTATAAGTTTTAAAGAGAGTTACTTTCATTCTAAAGTTTGCATAATAATTTGATCAAATATAAATTATGGGGAATATATATCCTTCGTGGTTAAAGGAATAGTTCACCAAAGATTCAAATTTGGAAACGGAATTTGAAGAAGATTGGGAGAGACCTTCAGCTAAATAAGTAAATTGCAACTGATCTGAAACGCCTCAATTTGCGGCATCTGATTTTTTGTTTGACAAGAACACTTGAGTCATTTTATGAAGATATATTTTCATATTTCAGACTGATATATGATCCCAGGGGTCATGATTTCAACAGCACAGAAGTGCTTTGATTCACTTGATTGATTAAACTGTTTTGAAAACTATTTGATTTTTAATTCTTTAGAATAATTATATAATTAGTTCATTATTGTTGTTGAGAATGAAGAACAACAGTTACAATAACCTAGAGCAATGTAGGGAGGTCATTTGCCAAGGAGCTACTGTTTTCAACGAATTTCGCTTTAGCAATTATAATATTGTAATTACTGCGTTGAATGGCACACTCTCTGGAACTCGTTAGATACCTTATTTCTAACATTAAAAACGATTTAATGTAACGATAAATGATAACTGTAAATTAAAAAATTTCATTATTGTAAATGAATAATTTATTTTAACTCATACAGGGTGTGTTCAACCGATTAATATTAATTTTATGCGAAACTATTATTAAGGAAAAAGGGTAAGCACTGTTTCGAATTAAAGTGGCGAATTTTGTTCGAAGGTGGTTTGCCTTGATCTAGATTGTCTTAGTCTTCTCGGCTCTTCTCTAAATGTTTTTAATATATTGCTATAAGTTACCGTCTTTAAGTAGATTTGTGGTTACAAACAGTATAGAGCAGTTTATGCAGTCTAGTGAGTGGAATTTTCTCTCTACTTGTGATAGATTTTAACTGATATATTTAGGCTTTTCCTTTTCAAGGTCGTATATCCGTTCTTGTACCTCTTGCTTTCTCCGTCATTTAACATATAAGAAAATGTCATTCAGTATGGATGAAATAAAAAAAGCGCTGGATTCGTCAGAAAAGCCAAGTAGTCCCCTGGAATCCTTGGATCTCGAGGGTAAGATATTGTTTATAATTTTGAGACTTTAGGCATCGCTAAATACATAAGCACTGGCAAAGCTAAAAACATAATCACTGCTGTTGGTGCGGGAATTTCAACATGTAAAGATCTTTTTTTGTAAATTATATTGTCTTCTAAAAGCCGCTGGAATTCCCGATTTTCGCAGTCCCAAAACTGGTCTCTATAGCAATTTGGATGAATATGGTTTAGATGACCCAATGGACGTATTTGACCTGAATTTCTTTGAAGTATGATTGCTGCCTATTCTTTTACTCAATTATCTTCTAGGACAACCCGGAGCCTTTCTTTAAAGTCGCCAAAAGTCTTTACCACCCCAATGCTAAACCCACTCTTGCACATTACTTCATTAAACTATTAAATGATAAAGGTCTTCTTTTGCGAGATTACACACAGGTATTCAGCACTCCCCATTTTATAGGTCTGATTTAGAATATTGATATGTTGGAGCGTACTGCTGGTATTCCAGAAGAAAAGTTGATTGAAGCTCATGGATCGTATAACACTGGGCGCTGCTTAAAGTGCAAAAAGAAATATCCATTTGAATATTTCAAAAGTAATGAATTTCTTTTAAATCATATTCACATTTTTTTTCTCTAGAATCCATTTTGGAGCAAAAAGTTCCCACTTGTTCTAAGGAGAATTGTGACGAAGTCATAAAACCTGGTAATTTTTTATTTTATTTTGTCATCCTGGTTTTTTGCAGACATTGTGTTCTTTGGTGAGGATCTTCCTAAAAGATATTATAAGGGGGTTCAAAAGGTGAGATATTATTGCTTTTAAGTGGTTTTAGTTCCGATAATTTTTCTATAGTTATGCTCGATTGATTTTTTTAAGCTACTTTGTATTGTCCTTGCTAGTCTGACTTCTAAACCTTTGAAATATTGTCTGCTTGAATAAAAGGTGTTGTTTTTCCACCTAGTCTTAGTGGTGGTATATTAATTGAGCTTTCTTATTTCAAATTTATAAAAAAATTAACTTATCCTTTCGAATATTGAGGTAACCCTTAAACCCCTTTTATATCTTTGTAACTCCTCTAAAATGTAGTTCAATGTGTTTGAGTTTCTCTGCGTTTTCATTTTATTTAACGAGGGGTTGTCTTTATGTACCTTTTTTATTAATTTTAGGACTTTAGAAAGTGTGACCTCTTGATCATAATGGGAACTTCGCTCAAAGTGGCTCCATTCAATCATGTTATTGATTATCCCAACAGTAAGGTCCCTCGTCTTCTTATCAATCGGGAACTTAGTGAGAATTCTCGCGCTGTGAGTTCACTTGTACATTTAAGATACCCCCAAAATTGTCTTGAAATATTCTCCAGTACTGTCATTCTCTGGCGAAGTACCCCTGGGATGAAATTGATCATAGTTCAAAATGTGGTATTTTGAATTGGAAATCATGTAGGAATGAAAGGATAGCACGGTCTGGAATTCTGTGTCTGTTGAGTGAAGCACGTTCAGAGATGTATTAATGTTACAGAGGCCTGTAGACTGTCACAAACAGGGGTAGATTGGTGGGGAGTATATTCTAAACATCGATAATACGTCTGTGTTCTTAACTTAACCACTTATAAGTTGGAATGGAGAGCGCACTCAATTGCACAACTTAACTATGGGACAGTGTTGAATAGAGAAAGAAATTACACAAATGATTGAATAAAATGATGTAATGGCTTAGGGTACTTCGTGTGTTGGAATCAATAAATATATTTATTTATATCAAATGGCAGGCTTTATGATAGTTATCATTAGCCCTTTAGTTGACTTCGGGCAAAGTCACAAATAAGTGAAGAGGGGGGGGGGGGGACAGGAACGTGATTTGCAGAGACAGGTAGACACAAGTGTAGAGAAGAAGGGAAGGTGAGTACCGTGGGAGTGCTCGAAAATGACATACAGTTGGGTCATATGAGTATACGTTGCCCAGGGCGCACCACGTGGAGGTAAGTCTATCGCTCACCCCGAATCAATAAATATTGAATCATTATATCGAAACATTTTATGTGCTTTGATAGTTCTCGTAACTGCAATTCCTTATTTTGGAGATGCTTTTCCTATGCCTAACACATCACCAAGGCATCGCATCGTCGACTCTGATGTGTCGCAGTTCACGATTAGCGTTTGCTATTGCTCTCTGTAAAGCGTGATGTCTATTAGGGATCACAAATAATGAGCTTTTCCAGGTTCGTTTGCCATAGTGTTGACATCTGGACTGTCTGAATGGTGGGAGGTGGTGTATTTATTTAATAATCGAAAGCCGAAATGTGTTCCTATGCTCCGGAAGTTCCACTTATACGTTATAACCATGGGTGGTCTTGACGCGATGACGTCAACCGCCATTTATCGCTTAGTCCGTTGTTTGGCCCATCATATTCAGATTAGCGCAGTCTGGTGGCTGATTTAATTGCCTAGTCACCCCCCCCCCCCGGATTAATCCTATTTCAAGGTCATTAGTAGTATGGTCTCCATTTCATCTGGTTACTGGGCTGTTAGTGACTGGTTGAAGTTCTGGGGTCTGAACAAGTTTACCCATACCCTCATAACACCGAACTTGTTTACACTTTACAACATTTTGGCTGCATGTCCCTAACAGAAAGGGATACAAAATGTCTTTAAAGGATTTATCAATTTCCCAAACTAACACCTCAACGTCGTTGATCCTCTATGATAAGGGTAGTGACCCAAATGATGGACTACCCTTGGTTGCATGTTTTTTTATCTATCGTCTCGAAGGTGCTCTTTATCATCATAGCAACACTTAAGTCTCACTTTGATATCCTCTCTTATTTACCATGTACGAAATCACTGAGTTAGTGGCACAGTTTTCCATTTTCCCTAAGTGTTTTGCAGAAGTGGACTATATCTGAGTGTTCTCGTTCAGTCTACTACAAGTAGGAATCAAGCATAGAAATCGTCAATGTTGTAGAACTGAGGAAACTTTCTCAGCATTCGCTCTACGCAACGGTATTGGCTCAACAATCGAGAGGCTCGTGACAAGGTGTTCATGTAGGAGAAGAGAGAAATCATCTAGAAATACTCGCAGAAGTGATAAAACCGCTAATTGCTCACCACCACAACACGATGTCACGCTAAAATCTATTTGGCAAATTGTTAGCTAACGAGTTCTTCAACAACTATCTTTCATTTATATTTGTAGATTAAGCCACTTAAATGTGGCGAAGAAGACAACCTAAGAGACGTCTTCTTCCAAGGAGACTCTGACGATGGATGCCTCAGGTTGGCCGAATTGCTTGGATGGAAGGTATGAAAACTTCGTTGCGTTCCCTTGATGTTCTTGTCTATACCACTCCTCTTAACCTTACATTCCTCTTTTTTCAGAATGATCTCTTACAATTACAAGAAACTCGAAATAAGGAATTGGACGAAAAATTCGCCGAGGAATCGAGGCAATCAGAGAAGTGAATATCTTGCTATTTTTGTGTACCAATTTTGTGTCTTTCGACGATTTTGTGCCTTTACGATTGTTCTTTTATGTAAATAGCTCTGCCAGTTGTCTTCAATTTTTATGCATATAATGGTAAATATACACCTTTTTTTTAGAGTAAGTGTGTGCATTTGGGTAAATAATGGGCTAAAATTACAGCCGAGAGATATTGGCTAAAGAGGTGTTCAGTGGTCTCTTGGATTTCTGGTGATGTAGCCATGCGAGGTTAGGTGAATAGCAATCAAATCAATTTCTTTTATGAGTTTAGTTTAGAGTAGGGCGAAAATAGCGAGAGTTTGAATTAGTTTGTTCTCGTGAGCTGTGTGCATTGCACTTCCGTTCGGTTAATAATGCTCCCCTGAATATTGCCTTAAAGTTGTCAATTTCTATTAAATGGTTAGCCTTGTTGCAACGGGACTAGTTGCGGGCCTACCAATCATAAGAAGGGTGTTTGTTTAATGAGAAGGAGCAGAGAGTGGACTATGCTAGCAGTGGGTAATGAATAGATTCCATAGGGGGGGGGGGGGGGGGGGG